CTGTCCACAAGGTTTAGGAGTGTTTATGGGCATTTTTGACCATTCTTCCAGAAACACATTTGTGAGGTCACACACTGATGTTGGGACAGAAGGCCTGGCTCTTAGTCTCCACTCTAATTCATCCCAAAGGTGTTCTGTTGGGTTGAGGTCAGGACTCTGTGCAGGCCAGTCAAGTTCATCCACACCAGACTCTGCCATCCATGTCTTTATGGACCTTGCTTTGTGCACTGGTGCACAGTCCTTTGGATGGGTGAGCAAATACTTTTGGCAATATAGTAGGGCTGGGTGATGAATCGATTTAATCGATTAATTTGAATTTGCCCTTTATAAAGATTTAATTATGGGAAAATCGAGATTTTTTCCCCACCAGTGCATTCTTTGGGGCTTCTGTAGTTCAGAGGTCACCCTACCTGTCCGTCAAGAGGCTTGGTACACACCTTGACAATATGGCAGCTAAGCTAGCAAAGAGGATTTACTTCCGAAACAAGGCACGGCTTCATCAGTTATCTGGAACTGGTTAGGTTTTGCAACCTCGGACTTGGAGCAACGAACACCTCTCTGCAAAATCTGTTTGAAGGCTCTTGCTACAAAAAGCAGGAGTACAACAAATTTGTTTTGACTCCTGAAACAGAGGCGCTCCATTAAGTGGGAAACAAAATCGATTATAATCGAAAATCAAATTCGAAAGGAAAAAAATCAGAGATTTTTTTTCGGGCCATGTCGCCCAGCCCTACAATATAGTGTAGTTACTATCAAAGTGAGGTCTTTGATGTATGATGACCTTTTCCCGGACCTCACTTATTTTTGCAGCTCTACTAGTTAGGTTTAGAGGTATTTTGTGAATTAAGTTTTGGTTACAGTTAGTGTTAGCTATAGACTAGGAAGTGTTAAGGATAGGGAAAATGTCTGGGTTAGGCATAAATACATTTACAAAAATGAATGGACGTCAATACAATATCCTCAGTTTGAGTTCAGTACAAGGATGTGTTTTTGGGTGTGTTCTCTTGTCTTGGTAACTTGCATGTGGCAGTTCCCCTGCTCTTGATTAGAATGCAACAGGAATATGTTTATGACAACTGAATAGTTACCTTTTCTGCTGCAGCTCATTTCCCTGTGGCATTGATCATCACTGCTTGGTTTTCTGGAGTGGTTTGGATCAAATGACTGGTTTTCAGTGAAATTCTGCTGAGGTTCAGTCAAACGCAAATGCTTTTTTAAGTGTATGTACTGTATATACAACAGTTTTCTTTCTGTTTTTTAGGGAAAAGTGATTCACAAAGGTCCGCTGGTGACAGTGAAACCTGGCAAACTTGTCCAGAAAGCTGTAATCCAAGGTAACATATTAACACGGCTTACCTGTCTGCTCTCTGATTTTGCCTCTTTATCAGTCCAAATATCTACCTGCCCTCACTGTAATACATGCTGTTGTTCTACTATTTTGTTTTCTCTTGACTTCGATATCATGGATTCTTTATAATTCCTATTTGGTAAAAATTTGTCAGCCTCATGGACAGAAACTGGAAGTTGGCTCCACAAGTCAAAATCAAACCAAGGTTCTTTACATCAGCACTGGAGGCTACGTTAACACCACTCAGAATATCCATCCATCCATCCATTTTCTGTACACGCTTCTTCCTTTTCAGGGTTGCATGGGTCACTGGTGCCCATATCCAGCAGTCACAGTGCGAGGGGCGGGGTACACCCTGGACGGGTCGCAAGTCCATCACAGGGCCACACATAGAGACAAACGAGACAAACAACCATTCACTCTCTCACACACACCTAGGGACAATTTAGAGTTATCAATTAACCTAACAGTCATGTTTTTGGTCTGTGGGAGGAAGCCGGAGTACCCGGAGAAAACCCACGCAGGCACGGAGAGAACATGCAAACTCTACCCAGAAAGGTCCCCGGACCGGGATTTGAACCGGTGACCTTCTTGCTGAGAGGCATCAGCTCTACCAACTGAGCCACCGTGCCGCCTACCACTCAGAATATTATAAATAAATATGTAAAAAAACAGGAGACCAACATTTGCTGTTTGTTGCTTATGTTATTACATTAATGATACAAATAATAAATATCCTTGAATGTCTCCTATCAGTTTCAGCTTTGGGTTTTGTTTTGTTTTTATAGATGATGATGATCCATCCCAGACCATGTCCATCAACATCATCCTGTTGGGATCCCTGGCCAAGGACTTCAGTGAAGTTGTCAATCAAGGGGTGAGCTCACTTAGTCATGAAAAATGTTCTTCTTCTCCCTTTTGGGCTCATGTACAGCATATCATCTGCCTCTGTCTCACCAACCCTCTGCATATCCCCCTTCACTACATCATTAACCTGCTTTCTACTACGGCCGTGTTACATGTCCAGTTTGAGAAAAAATAAAATAAGTGAAAATGTTTTCAATATAAAAAATAAATTATTAAAAATTTCACAGACCAAGGAGCTCCATGTCCCAGGTTCAAACATGGGTTACCGAGCCCCGCCTTGAAGCAAGGCCTGGGGCAGCGACTCGTTCATGGTGCCATGGATGGTAGTTTAAGGTGAAGGCCTTGGCGCTCTCAGACCCAGCTTACCAAAGTCTTGTGGTCTCAGAAAAAAATCTGTATCAGAAACCATTTTTAAAAAAGCTCATTTTTTTCTTCTTTCAGTTGAAATTCTGTAAAAAGATATTTGAAACAGGGAACTTGTGCACCTCATACAGTTAATGTCCAACAACTGTGTTACATGTTGGAAGTTAAAAATATAATCAGACAAAATGCTGAACTAGTAACAAGTGCAGCACATTTTATGTGTTATCTGATGATGTACCATCAGCCATGTAGAGCAGTTACTGTGGCACTTGTTACTGTTTAACATTGACTACATGAAGGCATGCTGGATAAATTATAGCAGTGTGAACACGTATTTTATGATTACTATTTTTATATAAACTGCAACTTCAGCTCATGTTTATCTCCTAATAATAGAACTATGTATCACATGCTGTTGTGATAAAATGAAAATGAGGATAAAGATGACAACTCAGTGCTGACAGATGTCTGGTTGTTAAATCTAATTTACAGGTTGAAGTGCTAACATACCCTGGTGGTGTGTTATTTTTATTTTTTTTATTTGGCAGGGATTCCATCCTTTTAAGGAACACAGTAGATAAATATCTGGGAAATTTCAGTCAGATAAAATCTGTTGTTTATGTACAATACTGTGTAAAAATTTCAAACCATCCCTCCAAGGAGCCTAACCCTAACAATAAATGGGTCCAATATGAAATACTGGTATGAGAAACACTCCTGTCTTCAAGCTGACAAAGCGTGGGGGAAAGAAGTTGCCAGCCGTGTCTTTTTTTAATTTGCGAAATTGCAGAGAATTAATAAATGTGGGACCAAGTTAGAAGCTGGTCTAAAAACGACTGAACTGGTTTACTTCTTAAGCTTGACGGCAGAAGTTATCATAGCAAACACACGTTTAACAGAACAACCTGGAGTTGAAAATGAATAAATAAAGCTTTAAAGTAAGCTGTGAAGGATAGATGAGGATTAGCTCCTTTTTATTTGCTCTGTCAACTCATTCTTTCATGTGTCAGGACTCGTGTGCCACCTCTGCATGTCTGTGAAGCTCCAGCATGTCTTCATCAGCTCGCTGTGACACTCGGCTCGTTCCGACACGCCTCTACACAATGAGCTGTGAGGAGGTTGACAGAGTTGAACCTATCTGTGTCACAGGAGGCCAGAATGTGCACTTCAGGGATAATCCTACTTGGCAGCATCTCACTATGCTTTTGGTTCCTTTCAGATCTGTCTTAATAGAAGTCAAAAGTCTGTAAAGTCAGCTGAGTGCAGGAAGTGGTAGCTCCAGCTGCTGCTGCGCTTGGCAGCGGAGCAGAGGTCTTGTCAGGATGAATTTCTCTGTAACACCATTGTTCAGACTATCTGCTGTCCTTGTGTCAGCTCTGAGTGCGAGCTTTAAAGTCATCTGGTGAACAACTGACAGGCCAAACAACACAGTCTTCAATTTTTACACCAGTTTATCTTCTGTGGCTTATTGTGACATATTCTTAATGTTCTCTAAGGATGTAACATCTGCCGCTTCATTTCATCTGGCTTTTGGGAGGACAGATATGTGTTTATCTGTCTGAGCTCTCTCAGTTGTAATCTGTTACTTCACGTTTGCTGTTGTTTGTTTCGACTTTCTTGCAGGATGTGGTAACAGCCTCTGGCTTCACTGTAGGCAAATCTCCCACAGCTAAACAGGATAAGCTTCACCCCTTTGACCTGATCCTGTCTGGAGATGATGCATTCATCTATGTAAGCATTTTTGAGTCTGTTTTAATCTATGCATACATATTTAATTAGTTTTCATTTCACTTATTTACAGCAGGCTTCAGGAACACGTGTACTGCTCATCTTTATCTGAACCACAGAGTGTCAGCTTCATTATCGTTTGAAATTAGATCTGCACGCTGTAACAGTTTGTTAGAGCATGAATATTTGTGTAAACTATTATAGGGCATGAATAATCTTTCAACATCAGTTTGAGCAATGACTACACTTGGTGAGAAATCTCTATGTACCTGCTGATCTGTTTTATGTTTTACTGCAGCTCCACTAATTAGTAATTGTACCACGGATAGAGATGGATGTTTCAAGAAGAAGCAATCTTTGAATGTGTTGATAGTTATTTTTCACAATAAAAGAGCCAGTACTCTCTGAACCACAGACAGAAATTTGTTCAAGGTTTCTGTGCTTGGTTCAGAAAGAAACTTTTCAGCTTTTGAAATCTAAAAAATTCTATACTTTGCAAACAAAACTGAAACAGCTGATAATTGTAATCTAACGAGAGGCACCTAGAACACTTAAAGGCTAAATTTAGTCTATCCAGGAAAATTGGAAGTGTGGTAAAAAGATGAAGAGTCCCAGCCAAGATTGAGTGGAGAAAGAAAAGTCTCGGGAGTTATATAAAAAAATCAGTTATCAAAGGTAAAAAATTATGAAAGAGTTGTATAAACCGTGGCACTGACAGACTAAAGTCAGAAATGGAAGCTGCAAAGATGAAGATGTTAGATAAGTAATGGAAGTGGACGAGCTGAAGATGTTGAGATTCTACTTGAGAGAAAGAAAGATGGATAGAATTAGGAATAAAATCATCAGAAGTACACAGTGATGGGCAGCGCTAATCCAAAAATTAGCTCCACAATTTCTAAAGTGCTTACGAAAATATTTAGGTCCGCAACTTCAAAAGCACTTATGCCATAGAGAAACTAGCAGAAGCTAATTTTAAAGCGCAAGTTCAATTAGACCCTTACTAGTTGGCAATAATTCATGTACAATATATGCACAATACTGCCAACTAGCAGTGTATGAACTCTTTTACAGCTTAATCCTACAACCGCCGATAGCTGGGGATGTGATTTCATGAAACAGACCCTTGGCTCCTGGTGTAAAAATTAAAAAGTTGTTGAGGATTGCTAGTTCGGCTGCTTCTTTGTCTTTTTCTTTTGTTTGTTGTAGATTTTTCATTAAAGAAGCATCAATAAAGTAATTTTAAAACTGTTTTTTGGAAAACTGAAGCGATGCATTCTGGGTACATGATGGATTCGATTTGGGACAGGAAACAAAAGCACAGAGTACAGGAAACTATCTTCCCTTCAAAATAAGAGCTTGGATTTTAAAGTTTTCCATGTAGTTGCTTCAGTTGACCACTAGATGTCTGTCTTCATCAGCATAACATCTTTAAATCATTTGTGCGTCTCTAACCCCGTTGGCCGATTGCTTCGACCAATTACGTCAAGTATTGAGCTCCAGCGTTTAATTATTTTTTAAAAAAGGATCTCCGATTGTAAAGTAAAATAAATCACTTCATACAAAATTTTAGTATGGATTACCAACGTTAACTGTTTTTGCAGGGACAGGAGTTCTAAACATTGCCTTCCTGCTACGTAAGCGGACTATGGCTGCCACAAACGATTACTTTTATAATTGATTAATCACCGATTATTTTTTCGATTAGTCGACTAATCGGATCATACGTTAATTGAATATAAAACATACAGCTTATCGCGCCAGAATGCAGCTTCTATATAAAACCATCGTTAGATTTTAGCTATATGCTAACTAAAAATAACTGCTGTAGAAGGCAAGTTCTGCCTTGCAGATATTACATTTCACAGGTTTCTCTTTCTTAAATGATCCCACTCTTTTGAGCTCCGTTGTCAGGTAGCCATGACACCAGAGCCTGTCTGTAAAATGTCTTGTGACGTCCACGGCCTACCCCAGTTACCACTACTGTGCATATGTGTCATGGACAGAAAGGCAGATGTGGTAGTGGAAGGTGTCAAAGCAGTTTAGAGAGAAAAACAAAGTAAAGAACAAAAAAAAAAAGATTAATCAATTATTAAATTAATCATCGATTATTTTAATAATCGATTAGTCGTCAACTAATCGATTAATCGTGACAGCCCTAAAGCAGACACAAAGCATTGTGGGAAATGAGAACCGTGGCCGAAAGCAACAGTCAAGAAGGATGTATACCTTTCCAATAACTGTGTTTATCTGGGAGGGGTGCTGTTGGACAGATCATGTGTGTTGTGATTCATTGACAGCCAATACCTTCCACTGTTCAAGATAATGATGACTGTAGATAATTAGTTATTAGCGGTACTGCATTTTAATTTTAGAAAGCGCAAATCCGCTTATGAATTATAAAAATTAGTAAGACCGCTAAAGCGCAAACGAAATATTTAGGTCCGCAATTATCGGATTTGTGCTTTAGTGGGCTGGTGCCCACCATTGGAAGTACATTACAGATAAAAAAAATTGGGAGGTAATGTTAGAATGGCCAGATTGAGATGGTTTGGACATGGTCAGAGGAGGCACAGCTGGTATATTGATGACAGAAATGAAAGCAACGGAGAACATATGGCTATGGAGCAACCTACTTTTAGAGACCTAGATCTGTTTAAGACATAAGGGCCTCAAATAGACCTTATACATACTCCTCATGTTTACAAGTCTGTGATGCACATATCGGTGAGGGTGCTGGAGATGACATGGGCCAAGGTCGACATGTCTAAACAGGCTTGGACCCCGGTCATAACGGCTTCCCAGATCCAGTTTTGTTTGTTTCTTTTATTTGAGATTTGTTGCTATAGTTTGTTGTGTTTGATGATTTCTGTCAAGAAAACATAAAAAATGTGACCTTTTCTCATTTCAAGGTATCTCAGCGTTCTGATCCTGACCCCAAGTCTTCACTGGCGAACAGAAGGAGGCCCACTCTCCCTGCTGAGGTGAGACCCGGGCACATGGTCAGCTCAGGGAGGAGTGTGTTCTGGAGCTCTTGTTGCTGTCAAGTGCTTCATGTAATCTAATGGCTGTTTCAGAGTCACTTTGTCTAAATGAGCTCTAATCAAACCCCGCGTCTCTCAGGATTTGATGCTTGAATTTTTTCCTTTTTTTAAAACCTTGTGTTTTGTTGTTTTAGACAGCTTGAACATAGTATGAAGGTCAGTAAAGAGATTTGGCTTTTAGAGAAATGTCTCCCTGACTTGTTGGCATTTGTGTGAGAGTCTCTAAAATGTCTAATAACATTTGCAGGGCTTCTTAACTGTCTTGCCATTAGATTTCTCCACCTACATTTGGTGATGCATTTCTACTGTATCAGTCATCATTTTAAAAATAAAGCTTTTAACTTTGAGTCACCAACTAGACTCCAACCCTCAGCCCTGTGAAATATTACCTTCAAGGTTAATTATCTATTCATCTATTAATATGCATTGATTTGTATCAAGAAGTTCTAGTCTAGAAGACTGTTTCTTTATACAGTTCTGTTTCTGTTTAGGATTCTAAGGCGACCAAGGCTTCAAAATACACCTACGTGAAACTGGATAATCTGAAGGATGGATCTACTGTGAACGTTTATGGTGTGGTGGTTTTCTTCAGACAGCCGTACCAGAGCCGTGGCACAGGTCAGTAAGTAACCCAGAATGTGCTTCTCCTGCTGCTTGTTGATAGATAAGAGCTTTGAACACTTAAAATGACTGAAGTTAACCAAATGCTACTTTTAATTTTGTTTTTGTTTTTTTGTTTTTCTCCCATATATTGACTAGGGCTGTGTATTGGCAAGAATTTGGCGATACGATACATATCATGACAGAGGGGTCACGATACGATATATCCCGACATATCCCGATATATTTCGATACTGTAAACAAGGCGATATATTGCGATATTTTTGGTCCAAAAATTCTATTAAATAAAAACCTCTTACTGGGAAAAAAAAAAAAAAAAAAAAAAAAAAAAAACCAAAATTCATTGTCTCAGAAAATTCTAATATTACATAGACATGCTTTTGATAC